GCGTGCTTCATGCCCAGACATGAAAGGCAGCGATCGTGACCATCACCCGGCACCAGGTAACGACCGCACCCAGAAACCCAGATGGTAAGACATCTTTAAAAAGACGCGTCTTTAAAAAGACGTTCCACGCGTGAAGCTCTTTTAGATGGAAATTGCTCTTTTAGTGTACTGAAGCACACAGGGGAGATGGCCGTCTGCAACACACACAGGGGGGGTAGTGCAGCCTGATGTGTGCAACCCACTCGACACGGGAAAACCACCGCCGCTGAAGCGCCGTACCACTAGCACGAAAGCCCACGAAGAGCGTGCTTGACTGTAGCTTTTTCTCTAAGCAGAAGGTCAGGAGCAGAGCGATAGAACTGCTCGGCTCAGAAGCGAAAAGCTGAATATGCGCTGCATACTTATACTCATGCTGTGATCAGCGGTAGCTGGATGCAATAATCGCATGTCAGTGTGCATTGGCTCATTTAGTTTACACTCGAGGTAGATTGGCCTCTCTAAACGAGATCCCAATTCGTCGGTCATCCAACGTGACGTCGAGAGTGACCGACTGAAAGGGAGCTATGAATATTACTGTATTAGCGTCCACACCAACACATGCACATTCTGTTTATTTGCCGTCTGTCTCTTTAAATGCTCGAGCTCGTTAAAGTCGAGTGAATTCTGATTGGCTGTCAATGTTTTTATTGTTCAGCAGCTGGAAAAAAACACTTTCTCTTTGAAAGGGAATCTAACGATATCATTCCTTTTTCGGAATTAGAACGACTTTTAAAAGACAATAGTTTTATCGATGTAGTTCTTGGTGCGAAGTGCTATAATGAAATTGCATGCATCATATTTAGGCTTTAAACTCTGCAAAATGATTTTGATTGAGATGTTGTGGAGCTTAAGTTAATTTGAACCCAGAGCACTGCTTTTTTGTATAATTTGTGTAATATTTTTGATGTATACGTTAGGGGGCGCTGCTGCATCTGAGTTCCCCTTCTGGTTGATTATTGGTTAATTGCACACCTGTGGACAATAAATACAGTAATTGTTGTATAGTTTTAAAAAGGGAGTGGGGAAGGATAGCGTTAGTAAAATCATTAAATTTGCATTTATAGTGTTGCTGACATACCTTCAATTAAAATATGGGCAATTACATATGTAAATTCATATGCCTGTATGTAAGTATTTTCCTAATTCATAAATGAGATCTGTTTAGTTGGTTAATAATAAAAAGTTGTGAACCCAGTTTCAGCATATTGTTTTTTAAGAGGACAAGGGATTTTTCAGGAACTTGTCAAATTCTTATTTATATATTTTTATGCAAGACAACATGAGTGAAACTATTTCATATGTGGGGTTTCTTTTTCATCATTAAAAGTCAAGGGAATTGTTTGTCACCATATTTTAATAAAGATCCACATACATGCATAAAAGTTGTGGATGCGTGCACAAGCTGCAGTGAAGCGTTAAGGCTCGTGAAGCACATATAAAAGAAGGAAACCCTGCTCTACTTCACACGTCTGATCTTCATGCTGATGGACTTCAGAGAATTCCAGCACTTCTTCCAGTAGTACCAGGTGGCTCCAGTATTTGTCACTCTATTATCTTTCTCCCACAGATAGTTACCAGTGGGGTTTGTGTAATCACATTTTTTGTACCAAAATCCTCCTTGATAGTATTTCAAAGCGCAGTTGTCTCCTGAAAGATCTTGGTCTTTGTCAAAGGTGGAGAACTTCATTCCATTGTGTGGACTCAAGGAGTCACCTGCAGAAAGGAGAAACTTTCATTATAGAGGCACTTTCACCTGGACATCTAAAATATATATATTTTTTTTAAATAAATAAAATAGGTTTCATTAGGTTTTAAACATTATGGTTTAAAAATACTTTTAAAACTATCGTTTTATTTGATTAAATTCTTCATTATAAACATCTGTGGTTTGTTTCACCTGCTCCTCCGTCTACAAAGCCGCTCACATGCAGTTTGTACTGTAAGGATAAAAGAAACTAGAATACTTTGATCTCCTGAGAGGCAAACAATGCACTGGCATCTTCAGGACACCCCACAGAGGGGTGGTGCGGGAAACGCCTCTCTCACATATGCATCTGTGCCTTTTCATCTCCTCCCTCCACTGGATTCACTCAAACTGGTCAAGAATATAATGTTCTAAATGAATGCAAATAAGATTTACAGTCATGTTTGGTTTCATTTGAATAGTTTCAGGGCAAGTGGTACAATGGTCTTAATCTTACTAAAAGATAATACAGATCCTAAGAATCCCATGCAAATTACCTTTTGTTCCCATTTGAGGTGTAGACCACCCAGGTCTGGGACCTGGCTTAATGCAAATTCCAATTGTTTGTACAGGTCTCCATTTGGAGGATGTCTTTTCTTAGTTTTGTATTTAAAGGATTGCAGCAAAAGAGTCAGGGCGATTCTGTAGTACAGAGTATCTCCTCATACTCTGTACTATGTATTTTTCTAATACATCTAATACATTTAATCTCAGGTATGCATTTTACTCGTAGATTCGTCTTTGAGAGTTTGATGTCTTGTACTGATTTGATATCGTTGAATTGGCTGTGGAGATAATTGGCACAATACATATTTACCTGACTGATAATAAATTGTTACATTTGATTTATTCTGACTCACTCTGAAGTTATTTTCTCAAGTAGATTAAGTGAAGGCGTATGTTTCCGCAAATCTGCGACCAGGGTTAAGTGCACATTAGATCTCAGGAGATGAAGCATGAGGCGCATCAGGTGAGATTCTAAATTTCTGACTAACCGCTTGACCTTAGTTTAAGTTGGACTCAGTTACGGTAACCATGTATATAATTTCAGAATTAATTAAGTTGTACGAAGCTAGATTAGCTGTCGGGGTCTAGACAAAGGTGGTCTAGAAGAACCGCTGATTAATGTCGGAATATTACATGGGTAGCTGTAGGGGGCTAAACAGATTAGCCACAAACCTCTGAATAAGGATCAAACTGGCGAGTTTGTGATCGTGGAGCCCACGCATAGCGGCCGCCGTGAGGCATCCTAAGCGACATAGATTCCTAGTGAACGAGAAAAAATACAAAGTAAAGAGTTAATTAGAATAATCGAATGTAAGAATAATCAGAGACCGACAAACAACCAATGTGCCTTTCAACCTAAATTAGAATTCAGATACTAAAATGGAGTCAGATTGAGTTAAACCTAAATTGAATAACTCTGCGCGCTGAAAAGACCGAACACGCAAGAGACCTTCATCCGCCACTGGATACCTTCCTTGGGCCAGGTGCGCAGACCTTACAGTACCCATCAGCCTCACCGTCCACAGAGAAAGACTTGTATACAGCGTAAGCCTTCTTCCCTTCAAAGTCCTCCAAAAAGTTTATACTTATATCTGTGCGTCAGCTGATGCATGAACTCTACGCCTGTTAAAAACATTAAATGAAATCAGTTTAATAACCTTAATAACAAACATAATCTGCATTTATACTGCAGTCCTGATTAAATGTCTTTGATTGTTTACTTTTTATCTCCCAAATGTCACAAAAACACTCACCCAGCCAGTATTCGCCACCTTTATTTCCAAAACCCCACGTATAACTCTTCCACGGCCTAAAGAAATTCACCTCGCCGTTCATCTGCCTGAGAATCGCCTGAAACATTCAGAAATCATTCATCACTTTCACATAATCACGTCATTTGTGCACAGCCTTTGACAAGCTTTGTTCTGCAACAAATGTAGATTCTGTAGTGTGATTTCAATGACTGTTTTCTAAGAGCACAAATAAAAGACCTGAGCGACTATTTGAATAATAGTTTATTAGAAATCGTGGTGTCATTCACACTGGGGTGCATCTGATAATAAAATATCCTTCTGTGAGATAAAACAAAATCATTTTGCAAACATTTTGGGAATGTTACTTTTGAATGTTCCACGAACATTCTAAAACGAGTAACAATTAAAAAAAAAAAACATTAAATGAATGCTAAAATAATTCGGGAAAGAAATGTTCCATGAACAATGTTTTTGTGTTTACATGTATACACATTATTAAAGAGCAGAGAACGTTGAACAAACATTCTATTAATGTTACTGGAATAACGTTTGATCATAACTTTTTATGAACGTGTGTTCAAGAACGTTCCCTGTTAGCTCTTAAACACCAGAACAACTGTTTTCAAATATTCAGGTGAATTTTGAGTAAATGATATATGACTGATATTGACAGAATGATCAGCACTCTTAGGGAAATGTGATAATGTTTTGTAGCCTAATTATCAGTTAAATCCGACTCATTTTCAAATTGTTTGTCATAAATAAACATCTCAGAAAAATGTTCTGGGGTTTCAAATCGTAAAATTACTTTTTGTTATGAAACGGGGAATCATTTTCATACATGTCTTCTGCAGACGACAAACGGCTGTTAATCAGGCATTTTGGGGAAACACAACAAAATAAATATAGATCAATATTCCTATGAAATATGAGATATTCTTATGCCAAGTTATTACTCCCATCATTACACTTCTTCTTCATTATGGTTTGCCACAAGAACACATTAATATGCTAATTAGATGCAATCTATAGATACATTGTATAGAATGGGAATACCACTTTATGGACATTTTGCGCATATATTCTAAAACAATATTATATCAAATCATTCTCTTTTATCTTAACATAGTTGAGAATCATCTGTGTGCAAAGTTTGGCTCAAATATCCTGAAATCTAAAAAACTGATTGGTGAAAGAAAAAATAAACATTGATTTTGCCTATGCATGCCTATTGTTTATTTTTTAATAACTTAGTCCTGGCATCCTCTACTTTTCTCCATTTGTTTCTTATCAAGCATGACAAACAAAATAGTTGAGCAAAGGGCATAAATGCAATATACTGTAATCTAAAGGTTGTGCATGATAATCAGGAGCCAATACCAAGTTGCACGTCCATAAACTGTACCATATTGCACACACACACACACACACTCACTCACTCTCTCTCTCTCTCTGTGTGTGTGTGTGTGTGTGTGTGTGTGTGTGTGTGTGTATGAACAGCATGGCCAACATCGCGGTCCAGCGGATCAAACGGGAGTTTAAAGAGGTCCTGAAAAGCGAAGAGGTGCGTTTAACACCGACACACGCGCGTGCGTTTCACATGACAGCTGTCAATCAATCATGCTTCATGACTCACGCATGTGCATTTAATGCATTCAAATGACGGACAGATCAGCTGTGAAGCACACACACACGCGGCTGAGATGCGGCTCGTGCATTGGGATAATGCAGCTTAATGTGTGCTTGGTTTGTCAGATGGGTGGTTTGGGGGAATATTATGGGATGTGTGTCCCGTCCAGGCCGAACCGCGTTGCTAAACGAGTCCAAACCCGCCGAACAGAATCACAGCTCTGAGCTTCAAACGTGCTTATTTAATCGATTTCAGAGTGCTGATTGTGCTGATACAGTGCTGTGTATTGCTGTGTGCTTGTGTTTGTAATAAAGGCCTGTGTGTGTGTGTGAGTGTGATTAGCCGCGTGCTAATGTTAACTGAAGGCCAGTGCTTCATAAACACACACATGCACTCTTAAAACATCACATTTGGCATTTAAATAATATTTTCAGACTCTCGACGGTTAATATTTGGGGTAATCTATGTAGGTTGACGGGTTTCTTAACTTGTATTGTAGTTTTATCGAGGTTGTGGTCTGATAGCATCGTGTAGCATGATATAATTATGAATTATTATTATGAATTATGATTGTACGAACATGCATTTTCATTAAAATCACCTGATTAATGTTTGTACTGTGAAGAATGCGTGTGATAATGCACTACTGTGTGTGTGTTTGTTGAGTGTTGTGTGAAACTTTTAACATTAAAACTTCAGCACAGATTAACTGCATTTAGCATAATCTCAGATCCTTCATTAAATACTCATTAAACTCACATTATTGGTGTACAATTGGGTATAACATACTGTAGTAAGCTGTCAGTGTGACTTTGCTGTCACCCACAAATAAGTTTAGTATTACCATGGTACCAAAACCATCACATAATATTGTTTTTAAAAAAGTACTATGTGGTATAATGTAAATAGATAAGAGGTCTGTTAAAGATCTCTTCATCTGGAAAGCATCTGCTGTGCGCAAACATCTGTTTTACATTCAATCTAAATCATAAACATCTTAAAGACATCTTCTAAACGTCTATTTGACATCTGATAGGAAACGTCCTGTAGACGTCTGCAAGACGTATTTTTTAGAGTGTTTGCTCATCTGCAATACGTCTACAGGACGTTTCCTATCAGATGTCAAATAGACTTTAGAAGATGTCTTTAAGATGTTTATGATTTAGGATGAATGTAAAACTGGCATCTTTAAGACGTCTATCAGATGTTTGTACACCGCAGATGCTTTCCAGATGAAGAGATCTTTAAATGACCTCTTGCAGATGTACCTGTGCTATCTGGGTACAGTTGGTAGTTTTAGCTTTGGGGTTTTGGATTTATTGGGTTTGAATTGTGGGTTCAGGTGCAAAGTTTGTGGTTTTGCCTTTAATTTGGTCAGGTTTTTCCATTTTTCCAAACTTTAACTTTGAATTTTGGATTTCCCAACATTGACCAGATTGCACAGGTACATCTGCAAGATGTCTGTTAAAGATCTCTTCATCTGGAAAGCATCTGCGGTGTACAAACATCTGACAGACGTCTTTAAGATGTCAGTTTTACATTCAATCTAAATCATAAACATCTTAAAGACATCTTCTAAACGTCTATTTGACATCTGATAGGAAACGTCCTGTAGATGTATTGCAGATGAGCAAACACTAAAAAATACGTCTTGCAGATGTAATGCAGACGTCAAATAGACATCTCCGCATGCAATCAGGGACATGCATTCTAAATCATAAACATCTTAAAGACATCTTATAAATGTCTGTTTGACATCTGATAGGAAACGTCCAGTAGCTGTATTACAGATCTAAAAATACGTCTTGCAGACGTCAAATAGACGTCTCCGTGATGTGCGTGTGCTATCAGGGTGGAAACACATACATCTCAGAGACGTCTATTTGACGTCTGCATTTACACCTGGAAGACGTATTTTTTTACAGTGTTTGCTCATCTGCAATACGTCTATAAGACGTTTTCTATCAGATGTCTATTAGATGTCTTTAAGATGTTTATGATTTAGAATGTATGTAAAATTTACATCTTACAGACGTCTGCCAGATGTTTGTGCACAGCAGATGCTTTCCAGATGAAGCGATCTTTAACAGACATCTTGCAGACATATGTGTGCTATCTGGGCAGACTTTCTAGGCATTTTCTGCTCTCAGTTTGGCTGAATTCTGTGGAATGGGTTTACATTTGGAAACTGTGTCTCTTGTTGAGTAATTGTCTTGACATTTTATTTTCACAGACGAGTAAAAACCAAATCAAGGTGGATTTAGTGGATGAGAATTTCACAGAACTGAAGGGAGAGATCGCCGGACCGCCAGACACGCCTTATGAAGGTGAGAGAAAAGATGTTGTTCTGAACTGTTTCTGAACACTATTAACGATATCTGCACTGCAGTGTTTAATACATGCTTTGCATCTGCAACACGTCCAAATGTTATGCCACACTTGCCAATAGTCAGAAATGAGAAAATGCACTGAAAAAATGCTTTTCTTTTTCTATTTTGCATGACTTTCTGTCCTTTCTTGTTTTGCAGGTGGCAGATATCAATTAGAAATAAAAATTCCAGAGACATATCCATTTAATCCGCCAAAGGTGAGTAACGAGACGATGATGAGGACGATCTGCTGCTCAAAATACTGGCTAATCTAGTTAAACTGGGTTTGCAGTTACAGACTCTTGCTTAGAAACATGTGAGGCCGTGTTTACATGCTTTGTGATATTAGAGTACTGTTGACTAGTGCTGTGTGTTTGTACAAACAAATGCATGCAGGAGCGAAGACAAAAAGGCTGAACAAGCTTTATTTCACAACATTTCAAAGAAAACACTTTATATATTATGCATAGTACACTTTAGGCCAGTGCTATTTTAGTATCATTCATATGTTAATATTTTGAATGATATTTTATTTTTATATTTTCTGTTTTCACTTTCATTTTAGTTAGTTTTAGAAATTGTGTCGTGTTTTTGTCATTTTTATTAGTTTTTTTTAAACATCTCTATATATTTGTATTAATTTGAGTTTATTTAGTTTTAGTTATTTTAGTACATCAAGTTAAACTAAACTAAAATGAGAAATATTGCCTTGTTTTTTTTGTTGTGTGTCAATTTTATTCTTTTTTTATTGTTTATATCTATATAGTTTTAAACAATATATCTATTAATTTTAGTTTTATTTATTTTAGTACATCAAGTTAGACTAAACTAAAATGAGAAATATTGCCTGTTTTTTTTGTTGTGTGTTTTTTGTCAATTTTATTAATTTATTTTTTTATTTTTTAAATATGTCTATATAGTTTAAAAAATATTTATTAATTTTAATTTTAGTTATTTTAGTACATCAAGTTAAACAAAACTAAAATGAGAAATATTGCCTTGTTTTTTGTTGTTGTTGTTGTGTGTCTTTGTCAATTTTTATTTATTTTTTATTTTTTTTAATATGTCTATAGTTTTTTTTTTGTTTGTTTTTTTGTTTTATTTAGTTTTATTTATTTTAGTACATGAAGTTAAACTAAATGAAAATGAGAAGTGTTACCTTGGCAACTGGCTGAAATAAAATAAATATTTTATTTCTGTTAATGTTTATTTTATTTTAAGTAACAAAAAAAAAATATATATATATATATATATATATATATGTTTTATGGTTATAGTTTTTATATATTAACTATAATAACTGCTTTAGGTGACATGAATGTGTTTGTGCAGGAATCACAATTTTTAAAAACCAAATACGGCAAAAACTCACTGTTGGTGAATCAATTTCGATGAATCAAGAATCATTTTGTACTCGCATTGTGACTCTCTGAATTGAAATCGTGAGATTCACCTCTGCTATTGACTAACGTGTCTTTTAACTTTCACTCACAGATTAATTCTGGCACTTGTCCGCTGATGTTTTCCAGGTTCGGTTTATAACGAAGATCTGGCATCCCAACATCAGCTCAGTAACAGGTGCCATTTGTTTGGACATCCTGAAGGACCAGTGGTAAGATCTCACTGAGCGCACAGTAGAGAAGTGAACTGCGCTGGAGCTGAAGCTGTGTGTGTTTCAGGGCGGCGGCGATGACCCTCCGAACAGTCTTACTGTCTCTACAGGCTCTTCTGGCCGCCGCTGAACCAGATGATCCACAGGACGCAGTCGTTGCCAATCAGGTAGATGTTTGGGGGAATGTGCGACAAAAAGTGGTGTAAAAATGGCGTTCCTGTGGTGTTCAGGGTCTGTAAAATGTCTTACATTTAGTTTGATTAAACTCAAGGGCATAAAAAGTCTTAAATATCTTAAATGGTATAACAAAAGTCACTTATTAAGTCTTTGAACTGAAATGTGTGTTGGCAGTGTGTGTAC